GCTGTTACCTCTTCTAAAGTTGCGTTGACCTGCATTGCTTGTGGTCCTTTCTTTCCTTGTCTTTTCATACTGCTTGCGTATCTTTCCTGCAGGCGCGGGCGGCGGCTCTGCTCTCTCCTTATTCCAATTGGGGTGTCGTGGCTACCACACCGGCAGGTCACTGGGCCTGTTCTGGGCGCTGGCGGCGGCTCTGTTCTGCCCCTACTCCAATTGGGGTTACGAGTGTACCATGCCGGCAGGCCACCGGTCCTGATCCGCCGGTCGGTTGCAGGTTTGCCTACCCTGCAGGCGCGGGCGGCGGCTCTTCTCTGCCCCTACTCCAAATGGGGTGACGTGTCTGTCGTACTGGCAGGCCACTGGGCCTGTCCCGCTGGTCGGTCGCAGATCTGCCCACCTTTCGGGCACGGGTGGCTGCTCTGCTCTGCCCCTACTCCAATTGGGGTGTCGTGACTACCCCGCCTGCAGGTCGCTGGGCCTGTTCCTGGCACGGGCGGTGACTCTGCTCTGCCCCTACTCCAATTAGGGCGGTGTGTGTAACACGCGGGCAGGCTCCTGGGCCTGATCCGCCGGTCTGTCGCAGGTCTGCCTACCTTGGAGGCGCGGGCGGCGGATCTGCCCTGCCCCTCCTACCACGCCTGCGGACCCCTGGGCCTGATCTGCAGGTTGGTCACAGGTCTGCTCACCCTGCGGGCACGGGTGGCGGTTCCGCTCCGCCCCCACTCCAATTGGGGTCACATGGCCACCACACCGGCAGGGCCTGATCCGGGCGTGGTAGAAGGATCTGCTCTGCCCCTACTCCAGTTGGGGTGACGTGTGTACCACACTGGCAGGCCACTGGGCCTGACCCGCCAGTCTGTGACAGGTCTGTTTACCTTGCAAGCGCGGGCGGCGGCTCTGCCCTGCCCCTCCTACCACGCCCATGTACCACTGGGTCGCGGGTCTGCCCACCTTGCGGGTGCGGGTGGCGGCTCCGCTCCGCCCCCTCTCCATTTGGGGTCACGCGGTCACCACGCTGGCGAGCCGCTGGGCCTGCTCCGGGCGCTGGCAGCGGCCCGGCTCCTCCCCTCTGGCTCGACGACAAATTGAGGAAACTTGGGTGTCTGTGCCTCACCCCCCCTACCAGGAGACCAGCTGTTTCTGTCGCCGCTGGTATTGATGAAGTTCTCTCCTCCGCCGCTTTCTGATGACATCAGATCTCTGCCATGTTGGTATCCTATGCGAATGGCAGCCTTTCGTTCCCCTTGCCGTGCAACCAAAGCAACGGGTGAGTCCTGACCGGCCCTCAGCAGGACCCGGACCGAGAAGCAGTTTCCGTGGGCTCCTAGCCCTGGGCCAGGGCAGTTCCGGGAGCCGGAACTCGGCCGCTCCGTGCTCGGTGTAAGCTCCGATAAGAGTAGGCTCCAAGAAGCAGTCCCCGCGGGCTCAGTTCCCGGAGCCGGAATTCGGCCGCTTAGTGCTTGGTGTATGCTCTGAAAGGAGCAGGGTCCAAGAAGCAGCCTCCGCAGGCTCCCCAGCCCTGGGCCAGGGCGGTTCCGGAAGCTGGAACTCAGCCGCCCCGCGCTCGGTGTTCGCTCAGATAAGATCAGGTTCTAAGAAGCCCCCAGGCACTGAACCCTAGCAATCTGTCTGCAAGCCGCAGGCGAATGGCAGCCTGAAATTACCTGTTCTATGGCTGAATGAGCTGCGGTCAGTCGAAATCAGGGATGGTGACGTCAGCTTTCCAACATGGTGGCTGCTGGCCTCCTCTGTGGTCTGACCGGTGTGGAGAACCGAGATGGACCACTTCCTTCCCCCGTCTCAAACCCAGAATTCAGCCCTGAGTAGGGTGTTTGCACGGCTGGCAGAAACTGCAGCGCTGTATCCCTGCGTCGCTATCTCCTCGTTTCCCAGCGCGCGCTGCAGACTCTAGCCGTGGGGCGATTTGCTGAATAAGCAGTGTTACCCTCCGTGCGACAAACCTCTCGCGTTTGAGTCCCCGTAGCCGATCCTCGTGCGATGGAAATCCTTCCTCCAGGTTCCGGAGCACCCCACTATTGCTGGAAATTCCTAACAAGATAGCCTTTAGCCGTCCTGACTTGTCATACTCCCACACAGTGAAGCAGCACACGGGGGCAATGCACTCCCCTCGCCGCCATCTCTATTGCCGCCTTTCTAAGAACTTTTAAAAACACTTCTTGTAAGGCATTTGTATTGGAACTAAAACTCTTCAAAGTCTTTTTCACTTTTAATGAGTTATTTTTTAAGTTCTAGATTTTTCTTTCCCTTTCTTCTTTTAACACATTTAAATATTTCACTTCACTCTTTTTGCTTGTATGGTTTCTGAGAGGTCGGATGTACTTTCTATCTTTGCTCCTCTGTAGGTAAGGTATTTTGTTTCCTTGGGCTTCTTTAAAGATTTTATCTTTGTTTATCTGCAGGTTAAAATGACAGCCTCATGTATGTATGTACCTGGCATTTTTCTTGTTTGATGCTCTTTGACCTTCTTGGTGGTTTTCTGACATTAATTAAGGGAAATTCTCAGCAATTATTGCTTCAAATATTTCTTCTGTTCCTCTTTCTGGTATCTCATTACAAATATATTATACCTTTTGTAGTTGTTCCAGTTTTTTGATAGTCTGTTATTTTTTTCTCTCTTCCAGTCTCCCTCCCTCCCTTCCTCCCTTCCTTCCTTCCTTCCTTCCTTCCTTCCTTCCTGGAAGCTGCAATTGTCCTGGCTCAAGTTTACAGATCCTTTCCTTGGCTATGTCTAGTCTACTAATGAGCCCAACAAAGCCATTCTTTCTTCATTTCTGATATAGTTTTTTTTCCATGTTTTGTATTGGTGCACCATAGTTGTACATAGTAGTAGGATTTGTTGTTACATAGTTGTACATGCACAAAATTTAACAATATAATTTGGCCAGTATCATTCCTCATTAATTCCCCCTTTCTTCTCCTTCTTCCTGGGTCCTTTCCTTTCCTGATCTCTTTTCAATTTTCATAAGATTCCCTACCCTGGCCCTCTTTCTTTTTCCTCTTTAGCTTGCACATGAGAGAAAATATATGACCCTTGACATTCTGAATTTGGCTTATTTGACTTAACACAATGGTCTCAAGTTCCATCCATTTTCCTGCAAATGACATAATTTCATTTTTTTATGGATGAGTAAAACTCCATTGTATACACATAACACATTTTATTTTATCTATTCATTGATGGACACCTAGGCTGGTTTCATAGTTTGGTGATTTTGAATGGTGTTGCTATAAACATGGGTATGCATGTGTCATTATAGTATGTGGACTTTAATTCTTTAGGATAAATACCAAGGAGTAGGATAGCTGGGCCATATGATGGTTCCATTCTATAGTGGTTGTACTGATTTACAATCCCACTAATAGTGTTAAAGTGTTCCTTTTTTCCACGTCCTCTCCAACATTTATTATTGTTTGTATTCTTTTTTTTTGGGGGGGGGGGTTGTACCATGGATTGAACTCAGGGGCACTCGACCACCGAGTCACGTCCCCAGCCCTATTTTGTATTTAATTTAGAAACAGGGTCTGAGTTGCTTAGCACATCACTTTTGCTGAGGCTGGATTTGAACTTGGGATCCTCCTGTCTCAACTTCCCAAGTTGCTGGGATTATAGGCATGCCCCACAGTGCCCAGTTATTATTTATATTCTTGATGGCTACCATTCTGACTGAAGAGAAAGTAAATCTCAGTGTAATTTGATTTGTATTTCCGTAATTGCTAATGATGACATTTTTTTATATATTTGTTGGCCATTATATTTCCTCTGAGAAGTGTCTGTTTAGTTCATTTTTCCATTTATTAATTTGGGTGTTTTGAGTTCTTTATATATTCTAGACAATAATCCTCTGTTAGAGGGTAACTAGCAAAGACTTTTCTTGCATTCAGTAGGTTTTGTTTTTACATTCTTGTTTCTTCATTGTGCAGAAGCTTTTTAATTTAATGCCATCCATTTATTAATTCTTGATATTATTTCCTGAGCTTCTGGGGTCCTATTGAGAAAGTTGTTGTCTGTGCCTATATGCTAGAGTATTCCCCTATGTTTTCTTCTATGAGTTCTAGCTTTTTAAAAATTATTTCTTACAATTTCTCTTTGCCTAGATTATCCAAAAGTTCTTACATGTTGTTTATTTTTCTATTAAAGTCCTTAGTATATTATATTTTAAAAAGTTCTAGTCTGATAATTCCAACAATATGGCCACATATGATTCTGGTTCTGATCTTGCCAAGTCTCATCAAACTTCTTTTTGCCTTGTAGTTTTGTAATTGCTTGTGGAAAGATGAGCACAATATATTGGGTAAGGAAAAACAGTAAGGTTTGGGGGGGACAGGGAGAATTTTAAACCTGTGATTAGGTATTATAGTCTTTTTTTGGTGGGGAGGCTGTGCCCTTGGACTGTGAACTTCACAGGGCTTCCCAGTCCCACCTTCCCCTCAGTTGGGGCTGGAGGTTAGAGGGTGCTGGAGTTGGATATTTCCCTTCTATAGGTAGATTAGCTCTGATAAACCCCAACAGGTTAGGTTCTTATAAACAAGCTTCTCATGAGGGCAGGGTTTGTTAAGGGAATGAGCCAATGTATTTCGAAATGGATCCACTTCCACTTCCCTCCATTTGCGGGAAGCAAGAGTTGATTTTTCTCCAGTACTCACTGAGAGGACCTTGTGTAGTAATACAACTTACAAAAGCACTCTCCCTGCACTCCTGCTAGCCACTCAAGGAGTCTAACTCCTAGGATTGTCCACACTGAGCAATTGGTCAATTAGAGTTTGTTTTATTACTCTGCACTGGTCCCTGCAGTAGCTTCTGCTCGTTGATTTCTGCTCGAGTAAGCTGTGATTTTGTTTTCACTTCTCTTTCCCACTTTTGGAGCAGTATATAGTCCTGTGAACCTACTTCTCTGAAAAATCTAAGAATTTTTTCAGTTTGTTCATCATTTTTCCGTGTTCTATTTTTTTTTTTTTTAATTCCACACTTACTTTCTTTTAAGGTGAAGGAGGCACCTCCTGAGGCTGAGATGGTGTTCACAGCCCGTTGCAGAGCCACTGTGACCTTCCAGACCAGTGGAGACTCCTGGCGGGAGCAGAAGGAGAAGCGAGCAGCCCTGATGGTGGGCATCTTGATTGGTGTGTTCGTCCTGTGCTGGATCCCCTTCTTCCTGGCGGAGCTCATCAGCCCCCTTTGTGCCTGCAGCTTACCCCCCATCTGGAAGAGCATTTTCCTGTGGCTTGGCTACTCCAATTCTTTTTTCAACCCCTTGATTTACACAGCTTTTAACAAGAACTACAACAATGCTTTTAAGAGCCTCTTTACCAAGCAGAGATAAAAGGGGTTGGAGAGAAATGGGGAGACAGGGGAAAGAAACTCATAACTCTCCTTTTCACCAGTGATCTGGGAGCTGTCTCTCCCTAGCTGAATACTAATTACATTTTGAGAGTCATATCATTGGGCTGGGACTATAGAAGTAGCAGTGCCAAAAGCTCGTCTCACAAAGGAAAGCAAAAAATATACAGTAAGCATAAAAGTATGCTTTCTTCCCATATAGATGTAGACATTGCTAACAGATCATGTACCTTTCCCCATTGAGCAGGAATTTCACTCAGAATCCTTCAGGACAGCACTTTAGTTATTGCTAATTGGTTACAACTGACACACAAGTCAAAGATGATTTGACTTTCCTTTGTTCAATACTCTGTTCCTCAGTGAGCATCTCAAGCCTCTTGGAAGACTCTCCCTTGTGAAAGAGTGCTTCCCCCACCCTTTGAACTCAGCTTACCTTTCTCAAGACTCTCACACATCCCCCAATGGCCGTGTATTCCAATTTGCAAGAAAATGAGGATTACCTACCTACTGAATCAGACTCTCAAAGTGTAGACTGGTGATATATGTATTACATTCTCTCAGTTTTCTATTTTTTTTTTTTTTTTAAATCAGTGAGATTGTTTTCATCACCTTTTTTGCTACTCTGACCAAAAAGTTCATTTTGGGGCTCAAGGTTTCAGAGGTCTCAGTTCATAGACAGCCAGCTCTGTTCCTTGAGGCAAGGCAAAACATTGTGGCAGAAGAGCTTGGTGCAGGAAAGTAGCTGGGGACACAGCTCCAGGAAGCAGAGAGCAAGCTCCCTCAAGGAGGGAAAAATATATACCTGCCTGTAGTTACCACTGTTAATCCCTATGGGGGATTAATGCATTGATTAAATCAAGACTCTCCTAATCCAATCATTTTACCTCTAAGCCTTCTCGCTTTGTCTCACACAGGAGCTTTTGGGGGACATATCACATATAAACTACAACAGATGCTGCTGGATTTTTAGTTTGCTCTTAGACTGATTTTAAACTAAAATTTCTGGGGGATGACCCAATGCAGCAGCAATTCTTAAAACTTGCCACATGATTCCTGTGTGTGAAACCCTGTTGAGGTCTTTTCTCTGCTGCTTTACCACAAGGGACGAAAGTTACGAGAAATGTTTCCATGTTACTTAACCATACTGACTTGTATGTGTAATAAAAAGACCTTAGAGGGCATTCCTGTCTAGGCTCTGGATCATTTCTGTGATGCACACAGAGGGAAAATAATACCTGTTATAGTACTACCAAACACCAACAAAAGCCAGGTGTGGTGGTGCATGCTTATAAGCCCAGCAGTTTGGGAGACTGAGACTGAAGGATTGTAAGTTCAAAGCCAACCTCAGCAAAAGCAAGGCGCTAAGCAACTCAGTGAGACCTTATCTGTAAATAAAATAAAAAATTGGGCTGGGGATGTGGCTCAATGGTTGAGTACCCTTCAGTTAAATCCCTAGTACCCACCCCCCAAGAAAAAAAAAAAGAAAGAAACCAAACAATACCAATAAAACCTGTAGGCTGAGTTAATTATCTTGACTGAAAGACACCAAGACAACCATGTTCTTAGTAACTGTAGCAACTATAAAATCTCAGTGGGACATAGCAAGTGGAGCAACTATAAAATCCCAGTGGGACATAGCAACAAGCCTTTATTTCTTGCTCCTTCATTTGTCTATGGCTGGTCTGCAGTCATCTCACCTGGACTCTTCTGGTCTTGAAAGCTGCAGATCAGGTTTAGGTCTGCACCATGTGTCCCTCATACTTTTTACAACAACAAAAATCTTCTCAAGAGAGAAGGGCAAGATGATAGGCCACACAAACACCTTTTCAAAACTCTATCAATGGTTTTAGTCAGCTTTTTGGTCACTGTGACCAAAAGACCCAACAAAAATAACTTAGAGGAAGAAAAGGTTATTTTATTTTCGCTCATGATTTCAGAGGTTCTGTCCATCGATGGCTAACTCCATAGCTCTGGGCCTGAGGTGGGGCAGAACATCATGGCAGAAGAGCATGGTGGAGAAAGGCAGCTCAGGACAAGACAACTAGGAAGCAAAGAGCAAGTTCTGCTCACTAAGGACAAAATATAAGCCCCAAAGTCATGCCCCCAGTGACCTACTGCCTCCAGCCCCACCCCACTTGCCTACAGTTTACCACCCAGTTAATATCTCAGTGGATTAACCTACGGATTAGGTTAAGGCTCTCATAAACCAATCATCTCACTTCTGAATATTCTTGCTTTGACTCACACATGAGCTTTTGGAGGACACCTCATAAATAAACTACAATCCTAAAGTGAAGGGATGGGGAAGTATATTTCAGTGCCATAACAAAGGAATCTACTATGAGGGAACTGATGAATATCAACAAAGAATTCAATGCTCAGTACTTAAAAAAAGCAAAACAGGAAAAAAAATCAGCCTTATGTGATAGCACAAACCTGCAATACCAGTAACTCAGAAGGCTGAGGCAGGAGGATTGCAAATCAAGGACATCCTAGGCAAGTGAGACCCTGTCTCAAAACAGAGCTGGGGACTATTGCTTGGTGGTAAAGCATCCCTGGGTTCAATTCCCAGCACCAGAAAAAAAAAATGTAATATAGAAAGCATAACTCCTGTGAGACATTTGTTTCAGTTGTATTTTCATCTGGATTTTTTTTTTTTTTTTTGGTACCAGGAGATTAAACCCAGGGGTGCTTAACCACTGAGTCATATCCCAACCCTTTTTATTTTGAGACAGAATCTCACTTAGATTTGCTTGGAGCCTTGCTAAGTTGTTGAGGCTAGCTTTGAGCTTCTAATCCTCCTGCCTCAGCCTCCCCAGCCACTGAGATTATAGGTATCTGCCACCATGCCTAGCTCATCTGGATTATGAGTGATCTCTAACTGGGTTCCCTGTAGCCTGTAGGCAACACAGCCCCAGAGGGATCCCTATTAAAACGAGGCCAGAACATATCACTTTTCTACTCAAAATCCTCTTGTAGCTTCCCACACAGATTCACAGATAGTCACCAAACTCATCTGGATATGCTTCTACCCAGGGCTTTTACACTTGGTATTCCCTATACTTGGAATTTCCTCACCCAGGTCTCTATGACTTACTCCTTCACTAGTCAGTGACTGAGGTCCTCCCTAGCTTCTCAATATAAAATTGCCACCACCACCAAAACAGACATTCCTGACCCTCCTTCACTGATTTAATCAGTATGTTGAAGAAACATGACTTACATATTTCTTTCTTTTGTGTCTTCCCCATTGGACAAAGCTTCTAGGAAGGCAGGTTCTCTTTTCTGTGTTTTTCATTTCTGTATTTCGTGTTTGACAGAGTAGAAACTCAAATATTTGTTGGTTGAATGCACCAGTTAACAGGGATTTTTCTCATTGAACAAGAACATGGAAGCAAGTGGGACCAGGTTGGCTCAGAAGCTCATCATGCCTTCAGGGAGCCTGATTCTTTCCATCTTTTCAGTTGGTCAAGCTCAGTGTCTAGATGGTGAAGTTGCTCAAATCTTGTCATTTCCTTGACAAATAAACAGAAAGGGCAAGCAGAAGCTCTCCTGATACAATTCTGGCTGGTTATTAGCAGGAAAGTTTTTCTGGGACTCCTCAGCAGTCTTCTCGTTGTTGGTCATGACTGGGTTAGACATCTATTTATAAATCAACCTTGGAAAGTAGAAACGGGATTCTCATGCCTTTTAGAACAGCTGTTATGACGTTCTCCTGGAGCTGAACGAAACCAGAGTTCTGTTGGTAAAGAAAGAGGGGTGGCGCACACTTGAATTCCAATGAATTGGGAGGCTGAAGCAGAAGGACCACAAGTTCAAGGCCACCCTTAGCAACTTGGTGATGCTGTTTCAAAGTAAAATACAAAAAGAGCTGGGGATTTAGGTCAGTGATAAAGTACTCTTGGGTTCAATACCCAGTGCCCTCCCACACCAAAAAATAAACAAGGGTGGGAAGGATCACTCACAGTAGATTTCCATTCAAGATTGGAGTGGCTTCTGGAAAATGTTAATCATTCCCATTGGGCCATGGCTCAGAGGTACCATCCCCATGTTTTGTACCCCAAAAGTCAGGAAGCACAATTGCACAGTGATTCTCATGACATGCAGGCAACCCTACAACGGGGTTTAGGGTTCTATCGTCTTCACAGTCCATTTTCTGTCCCTGCCAGGCCAACACACTCAAACAGTGGATAGGAATGTTAGTCAATTTTCTGTTGCTGTGACAAAATACCTGTGAAAATCAACTTAAAGGAGAAAAGACTTAATTTGGCTCAGAGTTTCATAGGTTTCAGCCCATAATGGGCTCCTTTGTTTCCAGGCTTGTGGTAAGGTAGAAGAGCATCATGGCAGAAGGGTGTGGCAGAGCACAGCTACTCATCTCATGGTGGCCAGGAACTGGGGGTGGGAGGAAGGGGTCAGAGACAAGATATAACCTTCAAAGGCAAATCCCCAGTAACCTGCTTCCTCCAGGGGGGCTCCACCTCCTAGTGGTCCATTCAGTTACAGACTCATCAATGGCTTAACACTTTGATGAATGAGTGCCCTCAGGACCCAACCACTTCCCCAAAGCCCCACCTCTGAACATTGTTGCACTGAGGACCAAGCCTTCAACACATGAGTCTTGGGGGGACTCTTCATATCAAACCATAATAGTGCCGAACCTGCCTCAGTGTCTCAGCTCCTCAAAGCTATTACATCAGAGGACAGTCCCTTCCACACTGGCCTATTACCACCAAGACCCAAGCAAGAGACAGTTTTACTGCTTCTGACTCATGGGCTTTATTTTGCTTAAGAAAGTACATTTATGGAACTAGAATCCTTTATTTTTTTTGAAAACTAAACCAAATTAAAATTTAAAAACTATTTATTTTTGAAAAGATAATACATGTACATGGTACAAAATTCAAAAGGTACAAAAGTTATACAGTGAAGTTATTCCCACCCCTCTTCCCAGGGGCAACCGAGACTGCCAGGTTGCTGTATAACTTTCCAGAGATATTATATGCATATGCAAGCAGACACGTATCATAGACATGAGTGTATGTGCTCACATACACGCACAATCTATAAGCACATTTTTTTTCCATTCCAAATACTAGTATACCATGTGCCTTTCCCCCCCACTTAACCATGCATCTTGAAGATCATTCCATGGCAGAACACATACAGCAGCTCTGCTCTTTTAAATTTCTGCCCCACTATAGGAACTGGCCATAACTTATTTCACCATTGCTATATATTGATTGACAGTTCCCAACTTCTGCTATCACAAACAATGCTTTAATAAAAATTCTTGTCAAAGGAAACATTCTTAGGTGTAGCACTACTGGTTTGAAAGGCTGTGCATTTGCACTTGTGACAGGTATTGTCCAACAGTCCTCCAGAAGGCTGTATAATTCATACTTCTGCCAATGCTGCATCTGAATGCTGCTTCCCATAACCTGGCAGCATCATCCCATTTCTGGCTTTCATGTGGCTGAGACATTTTCTACCAACTGACCTTTAGATTTCATGAACTTTTTGGAGCAAAAACATACTCACGATCTTAGATGACATTAGTGTGTACCCTTTCTCTTTTCCTTGCCTATTCTGGGAGAAAAAAATGTATCTCTAAAAGACCCTCTGAAAGTTTGAAAACTGACACCTTTTTTCATTCCAACTTTCCAGGTTAGAGAAGAACACAGTCAGAGAGAGATCGTCCTAGGCTGATGAATAGAACTGTTGGCCTGTTTCAAACTAAGCATAAATTAGAGGAAAGGTTAAGTCTAAATTTTGTTAATACAGGGATGCAAAGCTGTAATTTGGAGAGGCACATTTATCCTAGCATTTCCTGGCTTTGAGCCAGATGCCAGAGAGACCACAGAAAGACAGACAAGGTCCCTGTTTTTATTGCCCTAACATTCCAGAATTTAGGGTGGGCAACAGAACTCACAAAGGACTAACTGACATTCAAACAGTAACATGTGCCATCAAGACAGATAGCAAGGGATGGACAGAATATGATCAGGGCCAGAGACCAAAATTAAATGGGTTTGTATGTGTATTAGGTGGTCATGGAAAACCACAGCCCAAGATCTTGGAGGGGACAGAGCTCTATGTAGAGGAAACAGCAGAGTAACAGCCATTTTAAGGGCATGAACTTGGTCCATCTGAGGAATTGAGACAGGCTGATGTGGAAGAA